CCATCCAGGCTTGGAGAGACCCAGCCTAGTAAGCTGACTGACCCTGAAGACAAAATACTATAAGCAAAGGAGCAACTCTGACCACAGGTCATGCTGTATTTGGAAATAAACTTGATGGAGCAAATGCTTTGTAGCAACTACTTTTATCTCAATACAGAGAGAGACACACACACACACACACACATATACGCACAGAGACAGAGAGAGAGAGAGACAGAACACAGAGAGGCAGAGAAAGAGACAGAGAGACAGAGACACAGAGAGAGACAGACAGAGACACAGAGAGAGAGAGAGAGAGACAGAGAGAGAGACAGAGAGAGAGAGAGAGTCCCAGATCTCACCCAAGAGGAAATCTGTAGTGTAGCAAGCTGGGGACAGGGACATGATAGAGATTGCCAGCTCCATTCATGTCAGCTTCCTTCCAGAGTTGTTTTTTTTTTCCTTCAGCATCCTGAAATGGGATTGGCGTCATCCATCTTCTCTGTTGAAGCTGAGAGCTGGAAGTGCCCAAAGGCCAAAGAGGTTCATCAACTTGAAGAAAACTGCAAGACTGAAGAGTTTGCCTCTTTCTGGCACAGGTGCAGGGCATTGTTCTCTACTAATGAGAAAGTCCCATACCAGTGGACTTTGGAACGAGGGCAATAGTACCATAGGTTTTCAATTTCATAGAATTCCAGAAGTCATATTTCCATCCTTCCGTCCAACATGTACCCAATGGAGAGTCATTTGTGCCATATTCTCCCACAGTGGTCACCCATCCTCAGTAAATCCTCTGCTACAGAGAGGTACAAATGAACTGATGGGAGGAAATGACTATAAACTGAAAGGGATCAGGCGAGACTTCCTGGAAGAGATATCAATCATTTGAGTTTAGCTTTACAGGACTGGTAGAAATGTGATGGGGGGGGGAGGCATTCCAAGTTTAGTGGTTGGAAAGGGTGGTGGGAATGATAAGTAAGTGTGCTGAATGAAAAGTCTGAGATAATTTCTGAGCAATTAATTAATTTGATTAATAATGGCTAGCAAAAATTGATAAAATGATGGTCATTGGCTTGTAAATCAAAGACAGCCCCTAGAGAACATTTAGTGCTTAAAAAAGCCTTTGTAAAAAGGGAAGTATATGGGAGGTTGGGAATCAATTCTGATTTGTTAATAATCAATGACAGGGTAGACATATTAATGAGGAGGTAGGCAAAAAGTCTTCAGCTCCTCCTACTGAGAATGTGACCCTATTGTGAGACTCAGCTGCCTCTAGCAATGTGGACAAAAGAATTCATCTCTACTCAGACTACTCTGTCTGGTTTTCCCCTTCATAAACTGGGTCACCCTAAATTTTGGAGGAGAAAGTGAGGCTGGTGACTTTGCACAGCCCTCCTTCATTTAAATCAATTCACCTGCATGTCATGGCATCACCTCCATGATGTCATGATCCTCTTTGAGAATGACGGACAAGCAACAACCCTGTGAGTAGTAGGAGCTGCCCCACTGGGGACCCAACTGGAACTGGCCAGTTGAGCAATACAGCTTTCTTTCTTTCTTTCTTTCTTTCTTTCTTTCTTTCTTTCTTTCTTTCTTTCTTTCTTTCTTTCTTTCTTTCTTTCTTTCTTCTTTCTTTCTTTCTTTCTTCTTTCTTTCTTCTTTCTTTCTTTCTTCTTTCTTTCTTTCTTCCTACCTTCCTACCTTCCTTTCTGCCTTTATTTCTCTTTATAGGCTAGATTTCTTAAGGACCATGCCTTAAATCCAAATGACTCTGGATTTCACTGATTAGCCAAAATAGGTCCCAGGCCAAACCCCACTTAGTCACTGTTTGGTCCCTGCTTGACTCAGAGTGAATGTAAACAGGAATTGTTTCTGTTTTGGCCAGAAACCCTGAAAGTTTTCCCTCCCCAGTTTGATTTTTTTCTTTTCTGAATTAGGTTAAAGAGGCCGTTCTTTGCCTCATTTTTTTTTTACCTAGCCTTAATCACTGAATGAGCATTGCGCATTCAGACCTGCTAAAGACTTTAGCTTTAAAAGGCCAAGGTCTTCCACCAAATCTGGGTCCATCTCCAGTTGTCCTGATTTGTATCTGACCACTAGACCCACCCGGATGGCTCTGGAGGAGAAAGTGAGGCCAATGATGTTGCACAGCCCTCCCTCACTTAAATGCAGTGTACTTGCATGTCATGGCATCACCTCTATGATGTCAAGAACGAAAGACAAACAACAACGACAACACCCTGAATCCTAATAGAAGGTCCCAAGGACAGAGGCTTATTTCCTAAGGGCAAAATCTCATCTAGACTGGATTCTGTCTGTAAGGTCTTCTGGTTCAGTGGGGTCGCACCCAAGATCGAAAAGTGTGTACCCCAAGGATTTGGGCAAGCTCATCTATCAGCAATGTCCTTCAGGGGATGGTTGAATAACGTACAGGGGTTGGTTTTTGAATGAGGAAATAGGAAGGGAAAACCTTAATCATAATTTAATAATTGGTTATTCATATAAAAGAAAAATAATTATTTCACTCATACGGTAAGATAACAGGAGTCCAGTTGGGTTACATTGGGGAGTAGTGAGATGCAGTAGGAAAGGCAACAATTCTAGCATTTATATGGCACCCTAAAGTTTACAAAGCAGTTTACAAATACTATGTCATTTATATACTCACAACAACCCTGGGATATAGGGGCAATTATTAAGCTCTGCTGCAGAGCCTAAACACCAAGCCTACACCAGAGCTTAGCCATTAGACTCTTTGCTGCCTTAACCCTCTCCTCTCCTTCCACCTGCAAGGTACTGCTAAGTCATGATTAATGTCCATTTGAATAATGTGAAATTTGATTTAGTGTGGATTATAGAATGATACCAGGTATTCTTTAATGTAACCCAAAATTGAACTAATGCAATGTATTCAAGCTAGTATTTTTTTAAGAACCCTTAAAAAAATAGACAAAAGAAAGAATAGTTCAGATGGTTGTTGTTATTGTTCAGTCATGTCCAATTCTTTATGACCCCATTTGGGGTTTTCTTGGCAGAGACACTGGAGTGGTTTGCCATTTCCTTCTTCAACTCAATTGACAGAAGAGGAAACTGGGGCAAACAGGGTTAAGTGACTTACCCAGGGTCACACAGCTGGTAAGGGTCTGAGGTCACATTTGAACTCAGATCTTTCCAATTCCAGGCCAGCCCTCTACCTACCGTGCCACTTAGCTGCCCCTCTTCAGATGAAACCCTGCCAATGCAAAAGAGAAGCTTGTGATTACATCAGGACAAAAATCTGATGTAATCAAACAGCATGAACTGGTCATAATTACCCTAAAACAGGATGAGATGTTGGAAGGCCTGAATCTATGGTACAAGATATTATGAGACACTAGCCAAAAAACAGAAAAAGCTTTTTGTGGTTTGCAAACAATTACAAAGAATAGAAGCATGACAATGACAAACACGGAGTGTCTTTTAGCTGAGTGGATGCATTGAAGACTTCAATTAAAAACAAATTCCTTCTGGAACACCCATTTACACAAAAGCTTCTGATTTAATTAAGAAAATGGACTTGACCTGCATAGTGAAAAAGCTTTTACTGCAAGTGTTGGCTGGTTCTGTCACTTTAAAAGTCAAGCTCAGTTGTACTGGGTTAAAATGACTAGAGAGGGAGCCGACAAGGCTGAGGATGCAGCAGTGAAATATGCCCGTGTTTTGAAGAAAGGATGGCTATGCTCAGAGGTGTTTGTACCCGCCATTTATTAAATTTTCAGTGGAAGCTTGTACACTTTGGGCACATGCTACAAATCAGGGCTTGCTATATTGTTTTGTTGATTTCTAGGCTTAAAAAAATGATGAACTAATGTTAATAACGAAATTGAAGTTAAACGTGTTTCATGTGTACATTCCACCCCCACTTCCGAACTGGTTCTTAAACACTTATTGGCATACTTCTGGATACACTGATCAACAAAATTTTACTATGATGAAACAGGATTATTCTGGAAAAAGGATGCCTCCTAGAATTTACATCTAAGGAAGAAAAAACTCAATCTCGATTTAAAATATCTAAGGATTACCTAACATTTTTATTGGAGTTCATGCAGAAGGGAATTTTAAATTAAAGTCAATGCTTGTTTATCAGTCTTAAAGTACTCCAGTGCTCTGAGAGGTTACAACCATCAATAACTTCCAATTCTTTGGTGGCCAGATTAAAAAAAAGGGGGGGGGTGACTAATTTTAGTCCAGATGCTGAAAAATATTGCAAGGACAATAATCAAACACTATTGGTTTTAGAGAATGCCTCCTGGTTCATTGGGTGAGACTGTGAGCATGCAGATTTGCCAAGATGTGGATAAAGTTCTCTTGTTTTTTGTTCAGTCATGTCCAACACTTCCTGACCCCATTTGGGGTCTTCTTGGCAAAGGTACTGGAGTAGTCTGCCATTTCCTTCTCCAGCTCATTTTACAGATGAGGAAACTGAGGCAAACAGGGTTAAGTGACTTGCCCAGGGTCACACAGCTAGCTAGTAAGTGTCTGAGATCAAATTTGAGCTCAGGTCTTCCTGACAACTTCAGGCTCGGCTCTCTATCCACTGCGCCACCTAGCTGCCCAAGAAAATGACGTAGAAAATACTACTAATGCAGATTAAACTTTAAAATATGTTGTGCTTTTCAGAGAGCTGGATGTTAAACTTTTATCCACACAGCTCTGCCAATGCAAGTTCCTCCTCACTAGGGATTATCTACAATTTATTTTCTATGTATCTTTTATAAAGTACATTTTTTGTTTTAGAACTCACATTCTAAGTGGAAAAGACAGTTGTTTATATATTGTCTCCGCCATTAAGAAAGTGAGTTCCTTGAGGGCAGTGCTTGGCACATAACAGTCATTTAATAATGCTCATTGCCTTGATTTGTGCATTGAATCTTCGTCCTTCTCTTTTCGGTTTCTCTTCCCAAAAAAACTACATTTCCCATAAGCACCCGAGCTGGGAAATTGACAAAGGCTTCACTGCCTCTGCGCTTTGCACTTGCGCTGTGACTGACTCTCCTCCCCCTCGGCTTTATAGTCACTTCCTCTGCCCCACTCTCCCTTTCCTGTCGGTGCAAGATGGCGGTGCAGATCTCCAAGAAGAGGAAGGTAAGGGCCTAGTTCCTCCTGGGAGCGAAGGAAGGGATTGCGGGGCCGCATGGAATGCCCAAGAAGGAACGGTCTTCTGGCCGCAGGCCCTGGGCTTGTTTGAGCATCGCAAGGAGCCTCGGCGGAGGAGGATGGCGGCGGATTAAAGCTCTTGCGGCGGCTCACTGCACGTTCCTCTTTGGGTTTCGGTCGTGGTGCCGGGCGAGCCCACGATGACGAGGGCCTGGGTTGGAGGCGGGGTGTGGGGAGCGCCACGGCGTGGACTGAACCAACGAGCAGCCAGGGAAGGGGAGACCGAGGGGAGAGGCAAAGGGTGCTCTTGGCGGCCTGGGCTGAGTCGTGCCGGTTGGTAGCAGCCCAGGCCTGGGAGGAGGAAGGCCTGGATGCCCATCTCAAGTCGGTGCGTTCTAGGCTAACCCTGCTCCAGCCTCATTTTCCTGCTCCGTAAAAATGACTAATTGGGGCATTTTAGGGGGGAGAGTCTGGAAGGAAGGAATGCCAGGGTACTTAAATATACTATTCCCGAGGGGAATGAGTGTTTAGAAGAGAAAGAATTCCGTCTATCAGTGAACGAGCATTCATTTATCAAGCGCCGGCGATGTGCCAGCCATTGCTTATTGCTAAGCCTTGTTTGAATTCCCACCCTTTTTTGATTAAGCCCCTCCTACACCTTCACTTTGTAATAGAAAGGAATTCACGGTTGTATGTACCTGAAGACTAATCAACTGGCATTTATCAAGCGCTTCCTATGTGCCAGGCACTGAGCTACTTGAAGATAGAAGGGAATTTACCTTACCCTCCATCCTTTTGTGTGGTAGGGAGTGGAGGTCTTATTCTCATTCATTTTGCAAGTGGTAAAGTGCCAAACGTGTCCCCACTAGACAGGCTTTTCTTGTTGGTTAGCTCGTCTTAGAAAAAAGAATTGCTAGTGCTCACTAAAGGTTATTATGATATGTAATATGTATTATGTGATCTTATGTGTTCTAATTACATAATTATAATAATAGCTAGCATTTATATAGTGCTTTCAAGTTTGCGAAGCACTTTACAGATTTCAGTTTATCTACACAAGAACCCTGGGGGGAGGTGCTATTTTATTCCTATTTTAAACATGAGGAAACTGAGGCAGACAGGTTAAGTGACTTCCCAGGGTCACACAGCTGGTAAGTGCCCGAGACTAAATAGGAATTCAGGTCTTAGTGACTCCAGGTCCAGCATTCAATCCAATTATTCAGATGCTGCATCACACAAGGATTTTGGTGTATAGGGTTAAATAACAGTAGCTTCCATTTATGGCAGTGACATATCTTTCACTGTTAGTAAAAATGCTTCACATAAGTGAGGTAAGGTAGGTGGTATAAGAAACATACGTTCCCTTTTACAGGTGAAGAAAGGTAAAATTAAGTTATCCGGAGTCATAGTTACTCACTGGCAGGGTGAGAGATTCCAGGTGTTGAGATTCTGAAGCCTTCCCTTCCTGCCATTCTTAGTTCTATTGATGCTTACCAAAGAAAATAGGCTGGTAATTATTGGGGAGAGTAACTGTTATGCAGGTTCTTGGTGGGGTGGGGAAGGATGTGTAGCATGACGCTGTTGTTTTCCTGGGACTATGAAATATTACTCAGTATCCAGAGCAAAGAGTCCACTTAACCTGTAGCTTAGTACTTGCTTAAGAACCAAGACATGTTCATGGCATTTACTGGTCCCAGTCTCAAATGGACAGCTGGGTGTGGATAGAGTACCAGTGCCTGAAATTAAGGAAGGCTCATCTTCCTGAATTCAAATGTGGCCTCACATTTACTAGCTGTGTGACCCTGCTTAAGTCACTTAACCCTGTTTGCCTCAGTTTCCTCATCTGTAAAGTGAGCTGGAGAAGGAAATGGCAAACTGTTCCAGTATCTTCTGACAAGAAAACCCCAAATAGGCCACAAAAGTTGGGCACCACTGAACAACCTCAAATGAAATCAACCTCACCCAGAATTCTCTCCCAGTACCATATTGAAGGGATCTTAACTGTTGCCGATTAGTGCCAAAACTAACTGAAAGAGGTTTCAGTTTAATGAGTTGTTTATAAAAGGGAGAGAAAAAGTTTTAGCAGATCCACGGATCAGATAAAATGACAAAATTTATTGGAAAAAGTTAACAGTGGATTGGGAGGTAAATTGTCAAATCATAATTGAAATGCAACCATAGTGGGCTAGAGATACAAAAACATTTGAGGGTAAGTTTGATAATAGTGGAGTTGGGAATTTGAAGTAGAAATCAGGTAATCTGGGTCTTACACCCAACATTAATAAGGTAGTCTAAGGGAAGTCACTTCCCATCTGTACTTCAGTGTACTTCTCTGAAATGTGAGGTTTCAATGGAATAATCTAACCTTTTATTCTAGTTTCTGGCTTGGTAACCACTTCTAGTTCAGGTAGAACTAGATCTGGTGGTGTGGCACATGTAGTCAGTTAGGCAGACAGCAAACTTTGTGTTCTTTTGGTATTTGGCTCTGATCAGACAGAATGGGGCTGATAATAGCACCTGCCTCAAAGGTTTGTCAAACACTTTGCAAATGTTAAACGCACCACAAATGCAACTGTTATAAAAAAAACCCTTCAATGAAGATTCGATGACGAGTCTGACAGGAAGTAGACTCTTTGTTCAGGTGCTCTACTCTGCTGCGTTCTGCAGACCAGAATTCAGACTCCTGGCTCAAAGTAACTTCCTAAAGAAGACCTAGAGGCATTTGTCTGAGAAGGGTTGATTACACTTAAATCAGAGCAGAAAACTCATAGGGCTTTATGCCAATACAGGCTCTTTCTTTTGTATTTAGTTTGTTGCTGATGGCATCTTCAAAGCTGAGCTGAATGAGTTTCTCACCAGGGAGCTGGCTGAGGATGGCTATTCTGGGGTGGAGGTTCGAGTTACCCCAACCAGGACGGAAATCATCATCTTGGCTACCAGGTAATGCCTCACTTGACTCTAAAAGCTTTTGAGCGCTCAATGGAGGTGCACATCTGCCAGTTATGTGTTGAACAGGGCACCAGCTGAAATTAGGCCGTAAAAAACAAGGCTCATTTACATGACTATCATTATAGTTTATCTTTTTAAATGGACTTGTTCTTCCTAGCAGATATCTCAAGTTATGTTTCAGCCCTGACATATAATTTAACCTTTAGGTTGTAGTTTGCTATAGGCCATACAAGCTAGTTGTAGTATTTATAAGTACAATGGTTTTGACTTCAACTAGTATTTTTGTAAGCAATAAGCCCTGTGTTCATGTCCTGGTTTAGACACTCACTAGCCATATAATTGGGTAGGTGGAAGCAAGGTATAGTGATGAGGAATTAATGTTCTCATCTCTGCTATCTGTATAATGTAGTGGATACAGAGACCTTGAATGAAGATTCTGTAGAGTAAGTTTTCCTGCATAGGTAGGAAGACATGAGGGCTTCAGGTGAAGGTGGTCTGGGCCAAAAGATAGACAGGCTATCCCAAGAGTCTTAGATATCCTGTGTTCTGTCTTCATTTTCAATGGCATAAGGCTGTCTTGTGTGTGGATTGAAGTAAGGCAAAGCTGCACAAAGTTAGTCTCACTCCAGAAATCTTAGTTTAGGTTAACGGTATTAAAGCTTAAAAAACTCCCCAAGACACCATGAATGTGGAAGGTAAAAGAGACTTCAGAAATCCTGCATATGAATGAATTCCTTCTATGACATTCCTGATAAGATCATCCAGTCTGTCTCTGAGCACTGCCAGTAATTGGAAATTATCTCTGAAGACAAGCCAGTGTAATGGTTAAGCCTTTGTTTTTTACCTTCCCTTTTACCTTTCACCCACGTGCTCCTGGGCCAAATAAAATGTCAGCTTTCCTTAGGCATTTGAGAGCTGCCAAACTGTTCCGTGACTGCTCCTTCCAGTGATGCCATTTGCCTCCACTTTCAGGACTCAGAATGTCCTTGGGGAGAAGGGTCGCCGGATTCGTGAACTGACAGCTGTAGTTCAGAAGAGGTTTGGCTTCCCTGAAGGCAGTGTAGAGGTAAGCGGCCTTTGGCTAAAGTTCTCATCCTTGTTGATACAGATATAGTCTCATCGCCTGGAAAACTTGTGTAGGAAAATAAATAAGGGAAATGCAGCTGGTGTTCTAGAGAAGAGTTTTGGGAGGGACACATAACTGATTGTCTTCAGATATCTGAAAGGAAGAGGTAGATTGGTTCTTTGTGGCTTCTGTTGGCCAAATTAAGTCTGAGATCTGGAAGTTACCTTGAATGTCTTAGCCTGTTGAAACTCAGTATGATGAGGTTCCTTACAAAGCTCTGAGATGGAGCCTGGGGAGCAGGGAGTTTAGTTGCTTATTACTAGAGGGAGAAGCAATATAGAACTTGGAACTTGCCAGTTTTGTTTGTTTTTAGTCTTTGGAAGCCAAGCAGAACAGTAGCCCTGGGTAGATTTTTTTTTTTAAGTTTATGGCCATCTCTAATTAAATTTTTAATTGTACTTTTAAAAATATTATCATGGCATGTGTTAATATAGATATCTCACACAAGAAGAGAAGAATCTTGTCATTTGCAAAGTCTCAACAAGATTTGCAGTTGGGGTCATTGTTTTGTTCTTTTAAAGCTGTATGCCGAGAAGGTGGCCACCAGAGGTCTCTGTGCTATCGCCCAGGCTGAGTCCCTGCGTTACAAACTCCTGGGAGGTCTTGCTGTTCGTAGGTAAGTTTCTCAGTCCATTAGGACTTATTTGTACAACCTGCCTCGTAGGGCTATTGTGAGGAGAATTCATAACCTAGGGAGCTATTATTTGAGGACCTTTGATTTCATGAACCACTGTTACCTCTAATATTATATAGCTGGACTCCATCGTGCCTTAGTAACAGGTTGTGAATTTCCCTGGCTGGAAAAATTCAAGCCAGTCCTTGGAGATGAAGTGGAAGTTGGGGTTATGGTCTTCAGCACCTCATGCCTGGGATGCCTTCTGGTATGGGGCAGTGCCAAGTCAGAGGTTAGCCCTGTTACATTGTACTATAGCGTAGTCCAGGGCCCTTATCAAAAGTGTGTTCTACTAGTCGTTTGATTCAAATACCATTAATTATCTCGAGGCTGCTTGGCATAGTGGGTGCCCAAAAGACCTGGGTCTGCTATTTACCAGCTCTATAACCTTAGGCAAGTTGCTTTTCTGTACCTCAGTTTCTCCATTAGTAAGATGTGCCAATAGGGGGTCAGAAGACCTAAGAATTTTTCTAGTACTAGGAGTTATTTCTTGCTGTTAGCTTGTATGTTTTTTGTGTTAACGGGGAAGTCACAACTCAGCTGAGGCTTGCTGATCAGGTCTTGTATCTATTAAAATGAATAAGATTTGTTGAGTCAAATCAGAAGTATGAGGTTCTCTAACATCTCCCTCCTAGTCCCCCAGAACCCCCCCCCCCACTTCTCCCAAATAATTAGTGTATTGTTAGATGACACTGTTTTTTCCCCCTCCTTTTCCCTCTGCCCTTGAAGGGCCTGCTATGGTGTCCTCCGCTTCATCATGGAGAGTGGAGCAAAGGGATGTGAGGTGGTGGTGTCTGGTAAGCTCAGAGGCCAGAGGGCCAAGTCCATGAAGTTTGTGGATGGCCTGATGATCCATAGTGGAGACCCCGTCAACTACTACGTCGACACAGCTGTCCGCCACGTCCTCCTCAGACAGGGTGAGCCACTGCAAAAACTCGGGTGCAGCTTGGTGTTGCAGCAGATAGCTTATGCCCTGAGGAAGTGAATTCAGGAAGGGAAATGGCTGGGTTGGGAACCTGGATGAGCACCCCACCCCCAGGACTCTGAAGTACCTGAAGGCTGCTGGAATCCCCTCAGTGATGACAAAGATGACGAGTCAGAAAGGACACCTCCTGCTCTGAGTCCCCTGGCATGGGCATGTTTTGTGTCGCTGTACGTGGGGGCCTTTGCAAAAGTGTCTTGTCCTGGGTTGATCTAGAGGCATTTGTCTGAGAAGGGGCCAAAGAGCTTTTCTGTACCAGAAAGTTAACTAGATTCTGTCAGATATTTGTCGTAAGCTACATAAATGAAGCTACTTCATATCTAACCTTGGTGCCATTCAGGTGTATTGGGAATTAAAGTCAAAATCATGTTGCCCTGGGACCCAAGTGGTAAGATTGGCCCTAAGAAGCCCCTGCCTGACCACGTGAGCATCGTAGAGCCCAAGGATGAGATTCTTCCTACCACCCCCATCTCAGAGCAGAAGAGTGGGAAGGCAGAGCAACCAGCTATGCCCCAGCCAGTACCCACTGCATAACAGGTCAGTCCGTAGAACTGCCTTTGGGTGGAAGCAGTTAGCTAGGAGTTGTTTTGTCTTGTGTTTAAAAGAAGAAATGCTAAGAGTGTGTTCACCTATTTAATGTCTATCAATCCTCAGAGGCTTGTTCTGCCTTGGGCCTTTTCCCATGGAATGTTTCTTAGTTGCTAGGGACTGGAGAGGTCATTTTGCCTGACATACCCACTGAAAAGTACAACTTTTGGAAATGGGTTTTTGTCCGTTGCCTTGTGATCTGAACCATAGCCCTGTGAAGGAGGCAGGGTAGGGACTTGGTCCATTTGAGGCACTGGGAAATTGAAGTGTCTCAGCTCTTAATATTGGGCTAGCCACAGAAGCAAGACTTCTCAGAAATGCAGCTCTTAGCTTTGTTGGGTGGTAAAAGTGTCAAAGGCTTGAAAGGGGACCATAGAACATGGAATAATAGGGCCAGCCAGAGAGACCTGAGAGGTGACTCAATTTATAGAGCAGAAAATGGGCTCAGAGAGGAAGTGATTTGCTCAACATCACACTCACACCGCCTTTCCCACTTTACTGTCCTGCCTCTACTTGCATGTCTAGTGATACGCTCTAACTCCCAGCAATAAGGCACTACCGTTTTGGAGCATTTCTGATTGCTCAGAAGCTCTGAAATGGAGCCTAAATCTTGTCTCTCGTGTTTGGGTCAGAGTGAACTGGCACTGTCTAGTTTTCCTCCCTTCCTTCTGCTTTTGCTCAAGCTGTTGTGGTGCACTCTTTCCTGTCCTCGCCAATGGAAATCTTTTAACACCTTTAACATTTTCAGTGAAGCCTTCAATAAACCTTATCCTGTTCTGTCTGTATCAGTAGATATTTATCTGTATGCACGTCTCTCTTAACCACTGTATTGAAAACTTTGCTGTCTCCTTTTATTTGTCTGTCTTGCATATCTAAATATTTAATAAATGTTACATTAAAAACGCTCTGCTTTCCTTTTTTCAGCTAGTTATCCTAGTTCTTTGGGGTTACAGAGAATATATCTACTCCTTCCCCTTTCTAGCCCGTCAGGTATTTGAGGGAGGCAGGACCTCTGGACCGGAACACTTGGTTTCTTTGAGTGAATCACCCTCTCTAGGGAGTTGGGACTAGCTTTATCTAGGTCCCCTCTGGCTTTCAAGCCATTTTGTTCCTTGTTTCCCCAGAGGAACTTGTGTACTCAGTAATACCTCAGTAGGCATGGTCCAGATTTAGAGGGTCAGGTCCACCCACTCACCCCTGTCAGAAGATATGATGGTCTAGCCCAGATTCTCTTTGTAGCTGTCTTCACTTATAATTTATTACTGCTTGTTTTCTCCTCCTAGGACAGAGAGAATACTGATCTAGGAGGTTCTAATTCAGGCAGTGTTAATCTTTTACAAATTTGAGCAACTCTTTTCCCCTCTGCCTCAGTTTTCTTATCTGTAAAAAAAGATAATAGTCCCTCCCTGCCCCCAGTCGGGCTAGTGTGAAGTAGATAAAGGCTTAAGTAGATAACTGGACTGGATGTTCATCAGATTTAAGAAATCAGGGCACTGGGATGTTGGCAAAGAGGATTAAATTGATTTGAATATCTTGAAGAAATGGTATAAATTAGCTAGTTCAGGATTGGGGCGTGGGGGAGTGAGAGAGCCTGTAAGTACTAAACCTTAAGTCTACCTTCACGTAGCTTGCCAACTAGTAAGGGAGGGGCATTAAGGCAATGTAATAGGTAAGTGGAAAAAATAGTGCCGTGTGTGGTACAAGATGGTAGGTTTTTATTGAGAAAGGGGTCTTGAAAGCCTTCATATATGATGTGGCTTTTGAGTTGACCTTTAAAGAGTGCCTGGGAATTCAGACAAAAGTGGGAGGTGGGGAGACATTGCAGACCTCAAGAGCTATGGCTAATGCAGGAATTGCACAGGTCTGGTTCTGAGCACAGGAGTAAACTTGAATTAATAGGCACCTGATTAAGAGTAGGATGGTAGATAGCCTAGAATGCCAAGCAGGAGAATTTGAACTTGATCTGGTAAGCAATAGGAAATCTCTGAAGCTTGAGCAGACTAGTGATAAGACTAGATTTATGCATAAATTATTCTGGTAGTGGGAAGACTAGGCCAGTGGGTTGGTAATGAGGATCTGATATGTAGTGATAGCAGTGGAAATGAAGGGGACAAATGTGAGAGATGTTGTGGAGATCAGAAACTGGTAACCGGCTTTTCCTTCTCCCTCACCTCTCATATCCAAAGATAACAACCGACTTCTAGACTTTAGCATTGCTGCCTTGATCTAACTTTTGTCTTATTTTGGTTTCAAGGACTCTGTGACACCTGGAATGGTGTGCCCGAAGCTCTTCTGTAAAGATCTTTAATAAAATCTTTTTAAAAACACTTTGGTTGTTGCGTTTTTTTGAACATGAGCAGAGATTACCAGTAAGAAATGACCCCCTTTGGGGTCTTGTCAAAGGTGGAGTGGTTTGCCATTTCCATCTCCAGCTCATTTTGCAAATGAGGCAAACACAGCAAACAGGATTAAGTGGTTTGCCCAGGATCACAGGTAGTACGTGTCTGAGGCTGGATTTGAACTCTGGGCCTGGGATCTCTATCCACTGTGTCATCTAGCTGCCCAAGGGAACTCCCTTGTTTTCTCCATAATCCAGCAAATGTTGGTAATTTGGTCTCTGGTTGCTCTGCCTCTTCAAAAACCATTGTTTCTGGGGGGCAGCTAGATGGCGAAGGGGATAGAGCACCAGCCCTGGAGTCAGGAGGACCTGAGTTCAAATCTGGCCCCAGACATGTAACAGTTGTTTTTGTTTGGTTGGGTTTTTTTGGCTATGCAATGGGGTTAAGTGACTTGCCCAGGGTCACGTAGCTAGTGTTGTGTCAGAGGCCGTATTTGAACGCACGACTCTAGGGTCGGTGCTCTATCCACTGTACTACCCACTTGCACCTAGTATTTTGTTTTTTCCAATTGCTTGTAAAGATAGTTTCCAACATTCACTTTTATAAGATTTTGAGTTCATCATATGAAACACATTTCCACATTAGTCATGTAAAAGAAGAATCAGGACAAGCAGGAAAAACCATGAGAAAGGAAAAAAGAAAATAGTATGTTTCAATTTGCATTCAGGCTCCATAGTTCTTTATCTGGGTGTGGATAGCATTTTCCACCATAAGTCTTGGAATTGTTTTAGATCATTGTAGTGCTGAGAAGAGCTAAGTATTTCAGTCATAGCACATTGTTGCTGTTACTATTACAGTGTTGTCCTGGTTCTTCTGCTTGCTTCACTCAGCATCAGTTCATGAAAGTCCAGGTTTTTCTGAAATCCACCTGGTCGTCATTTCTTAGAGAACAATAGCATTCCATTACGTTCACATACAACTTTCAGCCATTCCGCAATTGATGGGCCATCCCTAGGTTATAGAATCTTAAACATAACCTTGCTGCCATGTAAAATGAGCGCAATTGTTTGATAATTAACATTCTTTGGCATTTCCCTTACAGGACTGAAATGTAAATTCCACTTTTCCAATCCAGTGGATACTGTCATTTTTGAAATTTATTGGTGTATTGAGTACAGCACTTTAACATCCTCATTCTTGAATTTAAATAGCTCAGTTGGAATTCTGTCACCTTCACTAGCCTTATTGTTAGCAGTGTCCTAAGACCCATTTGATTTCATTCTCCAAGATGTCTGACTGTAGGTCAGTAACTACAATATTGTGATTATCAGTGATATTGAGATCTTGTATATATTTAATCTCTTCTGCTTCTGTTCAGTCCCTACCATTTTTATACTTTATTCTCATTTTTGCCTAAAACATTCCCTTAGTATTTCTGATTTTCTTAAGCAATCTCTTGTCTTTCCCATCCTGTTTTTTTTCCTACTTTGCATTGCTCATTTAAGAAAAGCTTCTCTCCCTTGCTATTAAATTCTGCATGAAGTTGGATGCATCCTTCCCTTTCTCCTTTCCCTTTTTCTTTTCTCTCAGCTATTTGATAGACCTCATTAGACAGCCATTTTGTTTGCTCTTTCTTTGGAGGGTTTTTTGTTGCTGCCTCTTGTGTTATATTGTGAACTTCTGTCTGTAGTTCTTCAGTCACTGTCTACTAGATCCAATCCATCACCTCTACTTTATATACATAAGGAGTGCTATAGCTACACAGTCTGATGGTTTTTCCAACTTCAATGTAAGTCTGAATTTTGGGGCAGTGAAATGGCACAGTGGATGGAGCAGTGGCCCTGGATTCAAGAAGACCCGAGTTCAATTATGGCCTTAAGACACGTAGCTATGTGACCCTGGTCAAGTCACTTAATTCCAGTTGCCTCCAAAAATATTTTAAGTTTTGCAATAAGATCATGACCTGAGAGTTGCAGTCAGCTCCACTGACTATAGAGCTCCACCTGTCTACAAAGTATATAACAATTTAATTTCTATTTTGAGCATTTGGTGACAGTCCATGTGTAGAGTCACCTTATGGGTTGTTGAAAAAGAATGTTTGCTGTAACCAGTAAGTTACCTTGACAAAACTAATCTTTGCCCTGCTTCATTTTGTACTCCAAGGCCCAAGTTGCCTGTTATTCCATTTGTCTTTTGATTTCCTGTTAGCATTCTATTCCCTTATGACAAATGTGACATTTGCTTTTGGTTATTTCTAGAAGAGAAAGGTCTTCATAGAACTGATTGGCTTCTGCCTCTTAAGCATCAGTGGTTGGAGCAGACATTACTGTGATGTTGAGTGGTTTGCTTTGGATTTGAACATATTCTGTTTTTAAGATGATACCAAAGTACTGCTTTTCTCACCTTTATCGACTATGAGGGCTACTCATTTCTTCTGAAGCATCCTTGCCCACGGTAGTATATGTAATGATCATCTGAATTAAATTCATCCATTCCCATCCATTTAAGTTCACTGACACCCAAGATACTGTTGTTTAATCTTTCTGTCACCTGTTTGACCACGTCTAGCTTGCTTTGGTTCATAGATGTTACATTGCAGGTTCCTGTGCAATATCGATTGGCCTTTACAGCCCTGGACTTCCCTTTTGTCACCAGAAGCATCTATGGCCGTGGTTCCTTTCAACTTTGGCCCTGCTGCTGCTTCATTAGTACTGGAGCTACTTGTAGTTGTCCTTCACTCTTTTGACCTGAGGGGCTCATCTGGTGTCTTATCTTTCATCATTTTAATACTGCCAATGGGTTTTTTCTTGGCAAAGATACTAGAATGGTTTGCCATTTCCTTCTCTAGTGGATTGCTTTTTATCTGAACTCATCATTATGACCTGTCCATCTTGGGTAACCCTGCACAGCATAGCTCATAGTTTCACTGAACTATGCAAGCCTCTCTGTCATCAGGAAGCAGTGATCCAGGAGGGGAGGAGACTTCTACATACATATTTTCTCCAGATATTCTCAATTTCCCAGTTACTCAGTCTAGTAAATTCTCATGATCTAATCCTATATTCTACTTCAGCTGGTTATGCTCTTGATTCATGCCACTGACCTACAAATCTTCCAATATTTATAAACTCTAAAAATACCTTTGCACAATTTATCATGCCATCTTGCCATATGTAGGGGTTTTTTGGGGGGAGGGGGACTGGGTCTCTTTACCCAGACTGGAAGTGCAGCAACCACTCTTCCTCCATAAGGAGGCAAATGGGCTGTTCCTTTCTTAGCGTGATTGGCCCCTTGTTGAGAGCTTACCGTGCTGGTGCCGGATTTGGGGTTGGTCTTTAAACCAACTGCAGTTTAAAACTCAGCTCAGTTTACCTCTCTCAGCTTCCCAAGCAGAAAGGCATTGAAGGTGTTGGACAGCATTTGTAGGGCCTTGTGCCTTATAACCACACTCTTTAATGGAGCTTCCAAGTCTTCTGCCCTTCCAGTTCTTTCTCAGGCTGTCTTGAGAACTGTCTCCCTATTTTGAAGCCATGGTGAATCAGTTCAGTTCTAAACTATCCTTTGCAATTGAATGTCTTGCCCCTTGTCCTGTCAATAATCATGTCTTGTCAAATCCCAGCTTTGGAATACTTGGACCATCTGCAGTTTTTGCTTCTATTCTCAGCTGCTGAATGAAGCTTAAGAAATTCAGGAGGCCATGGTGGCTGGGTTTACTACAAATGTGTTAACATAATCTTAACTGGGCCCCCACTATAGCACAAGTGTCCTTTTACCCTCCCAAATAGGTTACCTGTACCTCCTGTCCACAACAGCTCATCTAGGGGCAGCTAGGTAGTATGGTGAATAAGAACGGCCTGGAGTTTGAATCTGACTTCAGACTCTAGCTGTGTGACCTTGGGCAAGTAACTTAATCTCTGTGCCTCAGTTTCTTCAAATATAAAATAAAGATCATAATAGCATCTACCTCGCAAGGTAGTTGTGAGGATCAAATAAGATAGCCCTCTATAGCACTTGGCACAGTGCCTGGCACACGGTGCTTAATAAATGCTCCTTCCCCCCTTTAAAACCTCCTTAAGCCTCCCATGGCACCTTCCCCTATTAGCCTCCAGTCAGCTGAAGACTTGGCCTCTTGATAACTGAAAAAAATTGAGACCATTCCATGAATATTCCCTCTCTCCACAAGAAATCATCTATGGATGGGGGATATAAAGAAAAATATTAAGGGCAAATTTAAGGAAGGGGGAAAGGGAGGATGGGACTGGGAAAGGAGTGGCTGTTCTTGGTACTTTAAAGCCCTCGATGTGCAGAACTGAGCTCATCCCTTGCCTTCTCTGGCTGATTGCTCCCTTGGTCATCCTCACTCTATTATTGTTTTTGGCCTTTTATGTTTTTAGGTCAGTGATGTTTGTTGGTAGTGGAGAAGATGACCAGAGATGTAATGTTTTCAGGAGGGGAGCCAGATATCTTCAAACTGATGTAAAGTGTGATAGAGAACAGGCCTAATGGGAATGGCAATAAGTAACAATACAATAGGGTTCCAGAGGGCACAGTAGAAGTAGAAGACATTGGAATAGACATACTTGGAATAGGATAGACTCGAGGTGGATGAGGACATAAAGTAATTACGGAAAAGGTTTTGCTTAGGTAACCTTCAATTGGGAATCAGAGATTGTAAGAGGAGAAGAGAGTTTGCTAGCCAAAGGACAGTTGCACCCTTCGCAGTAGCCAGGGGATCTATGACCCAGGCCCCAGCTGGATGTTACTTTGAAACTACCCACCCCACTGAAATATGTTTAATATGATTGTACATGTATGTATAGCCTATATCAGATTGCATGCTGTCTTGGGGAGGAGTGAGATGGGAGGGAGAAAAAAATTTGGAACTCAATCTTATAGAAGTGAATGTTAAAAAGTTTTTGCATGTAGTTGGAATAAATTAAATACTGGTATATGGGGGGGGCAGGAAACTACCCACCCACTCCTGGGGA